TCGTAGTTTGTGATTTTTCGACATTGAGGTCAATTTTTGATCATGTCACAGTGATCACCCAAGAAACAATATCTAAAAAACAATCAAGTACTCTGGTCGAAGGCTCAACGAAACTTTTCTGAAAATCTCCATAGGTGCGCAATGACGGTAAAATCAGTTGGGGTTTTTAGCGGCCAAATTGTCAGGATTTGCGGTAGTTGGTTGCAATGGGTAGCGGCCAGGTTGCAGGATTGGAAGCCAGTTGCTACGAAAAATGTTCAGAAATAGCCTAAGCAAATTGCTAAAGTTAGTTCATGTGAGAAATCGCCTAAGTCGGATCCTGATGCTCGATGCTGACAGAAATCGGCAGATCTGTCGTTGCTGAGAGAAAGTGCTTAAAGCAAGTCCAGTAATACACCCGCTTGTTGGCTCACTTATTCCAAGGAGGAAAAAGCTGTAAAAATTCACAATCTCTTTGTCACTGAAGAACTCAAGATTCACACCATCAATAAACTTGCTTTTCATATGAAAATACTTAAGTATTTCTGAATTGAAGCGAATCGGTCATTTTGGTGAAGTTACAATTGGATGATACCAACCCAAACTTTAATCTTGTGTGTCTGTGATCTTCCAGTTACTGTGGGACTGGATTTTACTAGAGACGTTTCAACTGAGACTATGAGGTATCTTGTCATACATACATAATCACAAAGTGGAGGGAAATTGTCAGTTATGAATGGTAACCGTGACTAAGGATCGACTCGAGTAGTATCACAAAGGGAAAAGTGAATATCCACCTTTCAAATATCCTTGAATTGATCCAAATTAGAAGTTTCCCTTGTGCAGAACTGCGCAGTTTTAAAAAATAAAACTCCACCCATACTTCCAAACTCCTATAAAAATATCCTCCCATACTCTCTATCTTTCTCTAATGTGATCTACTAAATCATATTCTAAAATTTTTACATAACTAGTACTGGTAGTGAAAATAAACCAACCAAATTAAAATCTGTAAAATTATTTTGTAAATGATTTAGCTCTTACCTATTTCGCGTGCATAAAATGCAGATAAAACTTTTATACTCAAAATAAAACTTTGTGACGAAGAAATGGTGATTAATGTAGAAATATTCGAGCGACAAGTGTGGGTTTTTGATTGGCTATGATTAGCTAAGACCAGAAATTGACCAGTGGCCCGAGTGGAGACACTCAGGTTCCCCACGTTAAAACAAACTGACTTTTGTGTCACATCCTGACTCAGTAGGGAGTTAAAAGTAAATGCTAACGGGAAGAGATGATGATGATTGGATAGTATCCGAACCAGCGATCATCAGCGACCACTAGCGATCGTCAGCAATCACCAGCGACCACGTCTTCTACCAATCCATTCGGTGATTCAGGTTTAACTCCATGCTGCCCATCATCTCGCGGATTACCGTGGTTTCAACCGCCTATGGTTGGCTAAGACTGCCTGCTCAACACGCCATCTGTCTATCGACCTCCGCTGACTGCCTATCGTCCTTCGATAGCTCCCAAGCGGTTTCGTCTTCCTCTTCTGGTTACCAACAACCGTCTCCCTTGGGCCAGCTAGTATCGACCTAATACACCAATTGTCTGTTATCGACGAATCTAAGACTAACAGTCAGCTACCAGCACGACCACCCAGAGTATACAAAACAATTGAATTCTTCGATTGTATTTTTCTTTTTTCTGCTAATTGGCATATTTTATCTAAACTCCCGTTATCCTTGCCTTGGATCGTTTCACTTCTTCAATTGTTTGCGGGGTTCATCTAACATCGACATTCGGACCCTACAACAAGTATTTTATAACAAAAGTTTGGACCAAATAATCGAATTAGGCTAGAGTTGTTTTATGACGGACATGTGGATTTTTATTATTAAACACATATGGCTGCTACAGATATTTGTGGATGGGAAACGACGACTGGGAACGTTTAATTAGGTTTGTGTTCGTTATTAATGTTCTTAGAAGACATATTCCACACAAAGCTTCGATTAAACTAAGTAAATTTAATAAGTTCAGTTTTTCATACGCAACGCGCTCGATGGTGGAACAGTTTTGCTACGTTTCACTGAAGGTGCTTTTTGTATAAGAATGGCACTACAGACGATATCGTTGACTTCAGTGGTGAGTGTGAAGAGTTGTGAGAAGTCGGGAAATTACATAATTGGTGACGAAGAAAGACACTTGATTTCTTTTCCAAGGCTTTAACATTTTCATTCCATATAAACGTTTTGTCGACTTCGTGAATCGGAATCACCTAAGGGGAGGACTTCGGCGCGGATTTGTTGATGTAGGCGGCTATCTGGGAATTGACAGATTCAAATGATATATCTGTTTGTTGTGGAAAGCTTCATTTCAATATTGGTGCCAGTGTATTCTCGTTTGAATACTTCGTCATAATACAACCAAAAAATAGATTCGTTGACGAAGAAGGTACATTTTACTGGGCCCGATTTCAATCCGGATTTACGAAGGCCTGTGAATATTTGGAATT